GAGGCAGTATCACTACAGAAGTAGGATTGCCCAACCTTCCTTTCGAGGAGTGGCTGGTGGGTTTGAACCGCCAGCCTTCTGGTTAGCAGTCAAGTGCTTTAGCCACTATGCTACCAGAGAGCTCCTGATTAGAGAACATTATTTCCATTTCTTTTCTTTTTTAGAATAAAAAATGTGAAATCTCATTAATTTTTTACATGTTGAAATGATAATATTTTTAATATATTGGGTTAAATAAAAGCAGTATTAAAACCAATTTCACTGGCTTCTTTTTACTTTTTTGGGGTACCATCATCACTATTTCCAAAAGTTTTTCATCACCCCAGACAACTCTGTACCCACTAAGCAGTAACTCTCCATTTCATCCTCTCTCCTCAGCCCTTATAACCACTAATCTACTTTCTATCTCTATATATTTGCCTATTCTATTCTAAATAACTCAAATAAGTGGGATCACATATTTGTCCTTTTGTACCAACATTTCAGTCACTCAGTATGTTTTCAAGGTTTAGCCCTATGATAGCACATATCACAATTTCATTTTTCTTTATAACTGAATAATATTCCATTATATGTGTATACCACATTTTGTTTATCCATTCATCTGTTATTGGACACTTGGGTTATTTCTATCTTTTGGGTATTGTGAATAATACTGCAGTGAACAAAGGTATGTAAGTATTTGAGTCCATCCTTTCAAGTCTTTTGGAGTGGTAATTCTGGAGCTCTGGTAGCACAGTGGTTAAAGCATTTGGCTGCTAACCAAAAGGTAGGTGGTTTGAACCCACCAGCCACTCCGTGGGAGAAAGATGAGGCAGTCTGCTTCATAAAGATTACAGCCTTGGAAACTCTATGGGGTAGCTGTACTCTGTCCTATAGTATCACTATGAGTTGGGACTGACTCCACGGCAATAAGTTTATGGTAATTCTATGTTCAACTTTTCAAGGAACTGCTGTTTTCCACAGAGGCTGTATCATTTTACATTCCCACCAGTAATGCACAAGAGTTCCAATTTCTCCACATTCTTACCAATACTTATTATTTTCTCTTTATCTCATCATAGCCATCCTATTGGATGTGAAGTGGTATCTCACTGTGGGTTTGATGTGCACTTTCCTAATAATGTTGAGGCTCTTTTCATGTGCTTATTTGCCATTTGAGTAACTTCTTTGTTTAAATGTCTAATCTACGCAAAATTTTCAATTTCCACTTCTTAAGTGAACCTTAAAGTAATTATTTGAAGCAAACTGGGTAGCAAACAGAACCAGGAAAACCAGAAATCAACAGGGAAGTGATACTTTGCTATTCAAAATGGGACATGAGATAATGTTCTGAGAAAAGCAGCAAAAGGTGATCTTGCTTCAGTCCCAAGAGTCAAAACAGAAGAAAGAATCACTATGGTTCCACCTGACACCTAGAGGACTGCTTCAGCCTCACATGTGATCAGTGTGCATTTGTCATCTCCCCAATTCTCATTCACCTCTTCTACTTTTCTTCTTTTACCAAGGATCCCATGTTCCCTTCACTGCCTGGATTCTCAGCCTTTGTTTAATTCTAGGCATTTGTTCTCCTCATTCTCAAGTTTAGTTCTCCCCTCATTATGGAAATACTGATTATAACTGCTCATGGAAAAATACTTAACTATCAAAGTTTCAACAAATATTCACAGAACTATTGTAACCTACATAATGGACTAAGTTAATGCTGGTTAACAGCACAGGATTTAGAATGAATCAGAACTTGAATTTCAGCTCTACTATTATTTGTGTGACCTTAGGTAATTAACTCCTGAGTCTTAGCTTCATCACTGCCAAAAAAAAAGTGTACCTACTTCTCAATGCTTTCAGGGAAGGAAATGAGAGTACAGTTTAAGTCCCTGGGTTACGAATGTCCAACTCACAGATAACTCCTACTTGCCCATTAATGTTATGTACCTTTCCCCTCACTTTGAAATGACTGAACCAAACCCTACTCACAACTAATTCTTTATCACCATCACCTTCACTTGCTGCACGTGCAGCTTTTAAATCATAAAAAAGGCCTTGAGTCTTTTCTTGCACTAAAGTAAGACTAAATAAGAACCATATGTTCCGGGTTTGACTTATCTACAAAGTTTACTTAAAGATACACTTAGGATGGGATCTTTTAATCCAGGGACTTGTAACCCAGCCTGTATATTATTTCCCCAAAGTGCCTGATCATAAAAATCACAGGAGTTACTTTTTTTCCCCTTATTTATTCATTTATTTATTTTTTATTGTGATTTGGGTGACGATTTACAGAGCAAATTCACTTTCCATACAGCAGTTCACATACACTTTGTCTCATGACATTGACCACAGTTTACCATAATGCAACAGCTGAGTCACTTTTTAAAAACCAAATCCCAGGCACCTTCCTTAGACATACAAATTAAGTAGGTAAGAGGTGAATTCAGGGCTTGTATTTTTAATATGTGCCCAAGGAGATTCTCATAACAAGTGAGATGAGATCTCTGCAGTTTTCTCCATCACATTTTTGATATTCTTTATATGTGTGTGTGTGTATATATATATATTTTTTCCCTCTCTTTTCCTTTTTAGTTAAGGAAGTCTACTCATAGTAGTAGTGAAGATACAATAGGCCAGTCCCTCATCATTCAGTGATCAGAGAACAGTCTGCAGGATCCACTAAACAATGATCAAAACCAAGTATAACCCTGGTACTTCACTAGCCTTGATGCAGAAGATGACCAACCTCATAAGGAGTGATCTATTCTTCCTCAGCCAGCAGTGCTCCAAAGCCTGTGAGAACTCATCACAGTCTACGACCCAGATTCCAACCTATCTTTCACAACTTCCTCACTTATCCCTTCTTGAACAGTCTCCCACCTGCCAACTAAGCTCTTTCAATCAGCCCAGGAGATCTTTGGGTCCGGTCCGTCTCAATTCTCCAAGTCTGGCTCCCCTTGACTTCCTGGCTAGGGGAGGCCTTGTATTCTAAAGACAGGCACTTAAGTGGTGTAACCAAAATTAAACTACAGTGTGAGGATTACTGTTCTAAAGGAGAAAGAAAGTGGAATCTTTCTTGAAAAGCAAGAAAGTTCACCAGAAAACAACCCCCCATCAGCACATGCTTTATTCTTCACATCTTCAGCATTTGAGTATTACAGGTATATAGAGGTAAAATTTGTCTAATTTTTTAAATCTAGAAACGGAATATCTGCTCTTACCTCAGGAGGTTTTTTATGTTGATGTGAGATTTTTGATTTGCTCCTATACATTGATCCAGAAGCAAAGGAAGTTGAAGGATCTGCAAAATATAATTAGAAGACAATACTGAGACTTATTATTCACTAATGTCAAATAAGCAAATGTCGCCCAGAGAATATCAAAGATATGATGGAGAAAACCACAGAGATATCATACCATTGGAGAAAACAGTTAAATTGCACCCAAGAGAGCCTCAGGATGGAGTTTAATGACATTTGGATGTGACCTCCCAGCATACAAAAGCTTCAACAACACTAAGGTTGAGAAGATTCAATTTGATGTAATAACACCTCATAACATTTGGTTCTTCTCAGAGAATAAGTATCTTTTGCAAAAACAACGGTAAAAACTAAAAGTGTAGAGCAGGTAACCTGCATTTACATAAAAGGTCATTGTTAGCAAGGTAGCTGGTTGTCTTTTATAATTGACGACTACTCCCTGACAGTCAAACATTTAATACTTAAGCTGCAATCAGAATCAGGGCCTACATTTTATGCTCTCTTACTTTTCTTCCTTCCTAGAGAAACCATGTAAATCACTATTGGGTATGGCTTTTATTGTTTAAGTAATTAAAAGTGGAAAAAAAAAATGTTCTACACCTCACAACACCAATACTTGTAATTTATCTATCTCTGATGAAATAAAATGATTATAAGGAATATTACCCCAAACTTCTCTTCCTTAGAAACATTTTTCAACCACTAAAAGGAGGCATGAAATAGTCTGTCCTCAAGTCAAGAAACATCAAGTGGAAAAATAAGACTTTATTAGTTGCTATTCTACTTACTCTCATCTGAACTGTCACTGCTGCTGAAAGGCCTGTGGCGTTTCATCTTGGAGCATCCTGAGAAAGAAAACAACACTGAATAAAACAAAATTAATACACTGTCCCACAGATCCCATAAAGTAACATCAGGCAAATCACACAAATCAAATGATTTCTGTCAAGAATACTCAAAATGATCTAACATGATGGGAGAAGAGTATTACCAAATCTTCCAATATACAGTGTGTTTTTTAAAAAAAAAAAAAACTAGGCAAGACCACACATTAGCCTCAAGAGAGAGCCCAAATGATAGAGGATGAGTCGTATAGCAATAGTTGGAATCACAGATGTAGGTACCCATGCAGTGTTCACCCAGAGGAGCCAATCATATAGCTGTCACTAGCCAGAAGTCCCTAACTTGGCAGTTTGCTCTTAGCTACTAAACAGAAGATTGGCAGTTCAAATCCACCCAGTGACACTGCAGAATGAAGTCCTAGTAATCTACTTCCATAAGATTATAGCCACTGCAAACCTATGGAATCCAATTCTACTCTGACCCACATGGATTCCCATGAGTTGGAAATGACTTGATGGCAATGGGTTTTATTGTTTTTTTCTTTTTAGGGACGGAAAAGGCAGTTGTGAAAGTTGAGTTGTCCAAGGGCCATGAGACATGGTTAGCTGAAGAAAGAACAAGAGAGACATGTTTAGAGTGTAATCACACTGGTTTTCTGCCTGCCCTTTCTTCTTCTTTCTTGCTCTCTCCCTGTCCACCTCCCCAAACAACTAGCCTAATCTAAAATTGTAACTGTATTTACACTGTAAGAAATGGTGGAGAACACTTATATATTGTGAAGAGTGAATAATGCTTTGTAGTAACTAAAACTTCTAAAGGTCGAAGTGGCCTTCTCTGAGTATAATTGGTAAGTACGCTGCCTGTCTGGGAACACATCAGCACTAATGCATAGGGAAAAAAAAGAAGACACAGTTAAATCTTTAAGTCACAAAAGAAGTGCTGAAAACATAAACTAGACAGATAGTGACATAGTTGGTAAATTACTTGTTTTATGTGCCACAGCATAGAAAATGCTACTTGGGCTGTCACAATTCTCAAATGAATGCTACTACCTTTAAATCACTTACAATTGACTGAAAGGGTAGAAATCCAAATACAAGGCCTCTCTGAAAAATTGTGAGTAACAGCAACTAAACCATATGTTAAAAAGCTATAGATGGAATTCTGGAAAGATGATGTCATAAACAGACCATTGTTCCAACCAAGATTATATACCCAGCAAAACTGTCCCTCAAATATGATGGTGAAATTAGGACATTTTCAGATAAGCAGATATTAAGGGAATTTGTTAAAACCACACGAACCTTACAATAGATGCTAAAGGAAGTCCATTGGACAGAGAACCAATAACAGCAAACAACAACCAACCATTAACACACATGAGGACATAATCCAGAAACCAACCCGGTTATAAAATTATCCAAAGTAAATAAGCCTACAAGATTGTAAACAGGGAACCAGTGACATCAACTGACAAATGAGGACAACTATAAACCAAACAGAGGGAAAAACTGTGTATTTACAGAACTTCTAAATGGTAAGGAAGTCAAGACAACTGTAAGATAGAACAGACTGTTCTAAACTTGGGAAGAAAATTATAAATCACAGAGTAACCTCAGAGAAAAATGATAAACCTTCACATCAAATTGAAAAAAGAGGACCAGCACAAATATTTGTTGTTGGTGGTGCTGTTATGTGCTGTCGAGTTGGACCCGACTCATGGAAAATATTAAAACAGTAGCAATAAAGGAAGTGATAACACGATTCATAAACAAAACAAGCTCAGCACTGAAAATTATATGAAACAAAGAAATCAACACCACAAAAAAAGCACATAATAAAATGATGGCAACAAATTCATATGTGTCGATAATTACATATCTGACAAGGGACTCATCTCTAAAATTTATAGAAAACTCCAACACCTCAACAACAAAAAGATTAACAATACAATTAACAAATGGGCAGAAGCAGAATCTGCAAAACACCGCATAACGTGGATGAATTTGGAGGACATTATACTGAGTGAAATAAGTCAATCACAAAAGGACAAATGTGGTGTTAGTCCGTTATTGTAAAAATTAAGAAAAGGTTTATCTATTGAAGGAAATTTTCTTTGTGGGTTACCAGGGGTGGAAGGGGAGGGGAGGGACTGCTGTTAGATAGATAGTGATAAATATTGATTTGGGTGAAGAGAAAGGCAACGTACCAAATGTGAGTGACCAATATGGCAGCATTGAGAATGAGAAAGACATAGAGAGGTACATGGAAAGTACAGACAACAAATATGAATCCTTTTGCATAT